GGGGCCAGTCCATGGCGGTGCACCCGCCCGCAAAGAGGTGGTAGCTGGGCGGGTGTGCGGCGCCTGGCGAGCCGGGGTCCTCGGACGGCCGAGCAGGCAGGCTGCACCGCTTGCTGCGCAGGGCGCTCGCCGGGGCGCCGCGCCTGCTGGGCGAGGCGCTGCGAGTGGCCTCCGCCTCGGCCTCGGGCTCCTCGGAGCCCTCCCCGATGTAGAAGTGGTTGACAGCCGTCCCGCCGCAAACGCGAACCGGCCGGGGCCACTCCGCCTCGCCGGGCTGGCGCAGGCGGCCCGTGAGCGCCTCGAGCGCGCTGGCTGTCCTGTTCCACGCGCCCGTGCACTCATCCATCGCCCTGGCCTCCTTGGACTCCCGGCCGTGCCCGTCGCCGCGCGGGGACAGTCCCGGGGGGTAGAAGCTCTGGGCGACCCCGGGCAGCCCCTGCAGCGCCTTGCCGTCCAGCGCGTCGGACAGCGCGCCGAACGCAAGCCCAGCGCGGCCGAGGGCGCTGAGCACGCTGCAGCCGCCCAGCGCGGCCGCGCCCAACCCGCCGCCCGAGTGCGCGCCGACGGGGCCGCAAGCGAACCCCGCGCCCGCGATCTGCAACAGCCGCTCGCCGGCCTCCGCGAGGCAGGCCGCGGCCTCCGAGATCGCCCGCGCGCGCGCCCGTAGCTGGAGCCGCTCGCGTGTCGCGCGCTGCCTCTGAGCATCGCACTGCCGATCCCCACTCCCGCTGGGCCCCTGGCCCCACCGGCCGATCTACGCCCCCAGTAGATGTGGATGTATCGGGAGCGGCCAAGAGGGGGGTGTCCAAGAGGGGGGGAGGGGGGGTACAACTCATGACCGGCGGCATGTGCGCGGCCCAGCGGGGGGGCCAGGGACGTTATGAAATAAGAAGAGGCGCCATGAAATCTGGGGAAAAATCATGGCCCCCGCCATGATATCCACCCCCCCTAGTCATCACCCCCCTCTTTGCCGCCCTCCCTTCGGGTTTCGAAGGGCCTCTCCCCAACGGGGGGGGTGGGATGGTGGGGCCGGGATGCCATGGCCCGACGGGGACGGGGATCGGTTGGACGATGCTGAGCCTCGGGCCCGCGCCTGCACAGAGGCGCCCGAGCGGGGCTGGGCACTGGGCCGCAGCGGCCCCCGCGGCGGCGCCGGTGCGAGCCGCCATGGCGCGCCCTGGGAGCCCTGCGGCCTGAGCCAAAATGGCTACGGAGGGGGCAGGGTGACGAGGTGCCCACAGTACATGGGAAGACGGCCCGTCGCACGCTGCAGCGAGGCATGGCTCCAGCTGCAGGGTCCAAGGAGACGGAGAGGATTGCAGCAGCAGGAGGAGATAACCAGGATCCGAGCCAACTGCGGGAACTAGAAGGGACAACGCCAGATAAGGGACATGCATATCGGCTTCTGGCCATGGCAAGCCTCAGCCACGACTAGGCTCCTCGGCTTAGATCGACCCGAACACCGGAGCCGCTCCTGGACCCAACGTGTTCCTTACTTCAGCGTCTTAGCTGTATCATATCGGCTGCTTCGGGCTGGTCCCGAAACCGAAGACCTTGTCAAACAATAAGAGAACAACCTGCCCATCAAAATTTGCCTCAAACCCACCAGCCGGCCAAGACTTGCCGCGGGGCCCACTGGCTGGGATCGGCTCCGAAACAGAATTATCACTATTGTGCGACTAACCCAGCCCGATGAACTTACCATGTATCAGCCTCGCAGAAAAACCAACCAGCCTGCCCCATCCTATGATACTGGCGTGGGTCACAAACAGTGACTCTGTGCAGTATACTGAGGTGCACCATGCGGGGGGAATCATTGCGGAGCAACCTTTGCAGTGCCATGTGCGGTCTGGATGACGATGATTGTCATAAGAACCATGGGAAAAAGCGCGCGCGAAGAAACTCAGCCAGTCTTTCATTCAAAAACCAATTCCCTTCATATCATGTTGAACATGTGTGTGTGTATATATATAGATATGTGACGTGGCCGGGGGGGGGTCCCGCCCAGGGACCTCGGCGGCGCATGGGGGGCCCAGGGCCTTACTTTCCCTGTGTTTTTTAACAAGGTTTCGGCGACCTGGAGCCAACAGAGCCCCACGAGGTTGCAGGGAGCTCCAGGGGCTGCTCCCGCCTGGTGCCCCAGGTCTCCCACAGGCCTCCCAGAGGCCTCCAGGAGAGCTCCCCGAAGCTCAAACACTTGGTTTTCCCATCGTTTTTCCGACGTTTTTCTCCAGGTAGCCTGTTCTGCATCCCCCCGCTGCGCGGCAGCCCCAGAGGAGGCCCAGACCATCCCAGTTCGGCCCCAGAGGCTCCCAACCTTGTCCCCAGATGGCTCCACAAGGGAAGATCGGCGCGCAATCCCCTGTGTTTTTAGAAGGTTCCGGCGACCCGGAGCCAACAGAGCCCCAAGAGGTTGCAGGGAACTCCACGGGCTGCTCGCGCCTGATGCCAGAGGCTTCCCACAGGCCTCCCAGAGGCCTCTAGGAGAGCTCCCCAAAGC